CTCTGTTGGAACCTTATATTAATTCTCAGTGTATGCCTGCACTCACTCGTGGATTAGTACCTGCTTAATTATTACTATTATGACTAAATTATTCACCCATGTGGGTGAATGACTGACAAAGATAAACAACACTGCATGGACATAGTAAAGACAGTTTCTTCCTCTAGCTTTTGTTTTTCTTCACTTTTTAGGCCTTTATTTCTTTTCTTTTTTCCTTTTCCACACTCTTATAAATAGGTAGCATTTATAACTCAGTCTTCAAAACTACCACTTTCCGGAGAGGGAAAACCAACTGCATAGAAACCCAAAAGCATGTGATTTACGCAGGCCCTGGTGCAAAGAAGTTCAAGGTCTCCGTGATGTCTGGAGATCAAGTGTTTTCCAGCTCCTGTTTTCTCACACTGATATATTGTTGTCTCCCACAGACTGCAAGGGGAGGATGTGGAAGATTAAAGAGTAGGTGGAGAAGGCCACCAAGAATTGGCAACTATGGAGAGAGTAACAGCCAGCAGTTAATTAGTTTCAGCTCTGAAATGACCCCTTTGTGTAACTTGTCCTTCCTGGGAGAGAAGTTAAAATACTTTTAGCGGTGTGTTAATTAAAACAATTAATCCTAGGTCTCTCCTTCATTTGTTTTTCTCCTACTCACTGAGGAGCACGTCCCCCAAATTAACAAATTCCAATTACTTCAGAATATGATGTCTATATACAGGGAGGAATGATTATAAAGCTAGATCCTAGACTCCAAAGTTATCGGTTTTCCAGAAACTGAGATGCAAGCTTAGAGATATTACAAGCAGAGCTCGAATGAAGACAGGTGATTTTAAAAGAAACATGTTCGTTCTGCAATTAGCATGTGCTGGCCCATCACTTCTGGCTTCAAATGGTTACTTCATTTCATATCCATTACTATTGCTACTATTAAACGAGTCTACCTTTTCAGATGGGAAGGCTGAAGGAGGTAAAGGAACTGGGCCAGAGCGCATGGCGTTAACTGTAGAGGTGGGAAGGATTTAAATGCAGGTAAGTCTAGTTTAGGGTTCATTGCTCACCACTGAGCACCACTGCCTTCAAGTTCTCCATTTACCTTCAGTCTAATGGGAGCATAAATCCTCTAAGAGAAAATTAACCAATGCCAGATGACTGGACTGGTATCTGTGCGAGATATGTTTTCTTTTGGATGCAACAGAACAGTTGGTGTAAATAAATCAAAGAGAAGAAAAAATTATTTGCTCACTTTCAGAGTGTTCAGTTCATTCTGGCAGAAGAGGTGTGGCACAGCTGGTCACAGCAAAGCAGACAAGAAGCAGAGAAAGAGAATTCAGGAAGGTGTCAGAGTGTGATACAGTACCTGTAAGTACCCCAAGATCATTTTTTTTCTAACTAGTCCCTATCTCCTACCTTTTACCACTTCCCAGTAGTGTCATCAAACTAGGAACCCATTAAGGGATTGACTTATTCATTAAGCTGGAGCATCCATTATGGAACTGTCTGTCTCTGGCAACATCCTCCAAAGGACTCCCAGGGGTGTGTGTTATTACTAGTCTCCAAGGCATTCATCAATCCAATCAAGTTCCCAGTAAGAACAAGCCATCACGGTTGAGGGGACTTTTTCAAAGAAGGCCATGAGAAGCTACTCTGTAAAGGCACACAACAGTTTGATTTGGCGAAGGAGGTGTTTAGGAGATCCTCCAGATAAGGGAACCTCGTGAGGACTACAAGTACCAGGGAAAGCAAACTGAGCGTTTGCCCTTGACAAAGCATTCCTGGTGCCTTCAAAAGACAAAGGCTCCACTTCTATAAATGAAAAGGGTACTTACAGTCTGTCCCTAAGAAAGGGACATAAAGGTGAATATGGAGAACTTTGACATCATGATGCATATTGGAGCATATCAGCTAAGGAACAGGGGAAGTGCAATGCCTTGACAATTGGGTCAACCACACCCTCTTCCCAAAAATTTTTCCCCACCAACATTCTCCTGGGTCTCAGTGAGATTAGCAGAAAAGGCTGGATTGGCCTTTGTCCATTCTTGCCTAGTCTCTGCTCTCCATTCCCACTTTTCGTTCTAAACTAGCTGGTTTAGCTTAACTTGGGGTGTGGCAACAGGAAACCCTAACACAAACCCCAATTCAACTTTACTATCAGCAAAACTGCCTTGACTTCCCTCTGGCTTCTCGTCTGTTGTAGCTGACCAAAAACTTGGATGAAAAGACTTATCAATGGGTAGGCCCCAAATTGTGTTAGGGAAGGTGATAGGGAATTTGACTTAAAAAGCTAATTATATATGGTATAGCATATATAATTGAAGATTGGTATAGTTTTTCTAGCCTGTTCCTAGAAAAATTATTAGTGTAAGTCTCTGTATGAGTGCATGCACAAAATGCCTACTCACAGAGAAAATTACTGCGGGTCTTGTTTCTAAATTAATCTCTAGAAGTGGGATATCATGAAATCTCCATTTTCCACAGATAAATTTGCCAAGGACCTTAGCCCTTTCTAAGAGCCCAAGTACTATTTTATCATGTCTTTGTATCATTCATTCTTTGCTCAGCAAAGTGTTCCTTTTAAAGTATTATTTGATGACCAAAGAATATTTTAGCCTATCTGAGAAGCTTTAATGGCATCACAAAATATTATTTTTATCATCAGGAAACAAATTGGACCTACGAGTTTATTATTTATTAGCACTTTTGAGCACTAATTTAAATTTTGGTTCTCTGTATATGTCAAGCACAGAGATTTGAATGTTTAACCCAATTCTGAAGACAGATGTTATCGACTTCCATATATATCTTACTGCTTACTATAAACAAATGGGAAAGAGTCTCTTCTCTAGGAATAATGTTTCTATTATAATCATTTTTAATCATCAAAGCCTTTGTTGAGTACTGGAGAAATGGCTCAGCACTTAAGACCACTTGTTACTTTGGCAGGGGACCCAGGCTTGATTCCTGGCACCCACATGACAGCTCATAAACATCTGTAACCCCAGTTCCAGGGCATCCAACTTACTCTGCCAGCTTCCCCAGGCACCATGCATGCACCTAGTGCACATTCATGTAGATAAACCTTCATACACATAAGGTAAAAATCAATAAATCTACAAAGATACTTTACATGAAACAGGAAGATCAGGGTTTCTATTTCACGAACTAACAAAACAGCTGTCTCAATCTCTGCAAAATATGTTTCTATGCCTCTAACGCTTTCAAAATAGAAGAAACAGTAGCACGTGTTTGGTCTTCCTGCCACAAAGAAAATGGTGTAGGCAAAGGATGTACACTGGTCTCTGCTCTCTCTGCTAGCTTTTCTTTCTGTACTAGTCTAACTTGGAGTGGGGCAACATGAAGCCCTAACACAATTTCTAATTCCACTTTAGCATCATCAAAGCTATCGTGACTTCCCTCTGGCCACCTTCACCCCCCTGACTCAAGTCTGTGGTTTGAGAAAAAGCTACAACCCCAGCTCCAGCTTTCCAAAGTGCAAAGGAAATGACACACACCTATTATACTGTTACCTGGAGGATAAGAAGGTATAAATTTAGAAAAGAAGTTGGCAGAAAAACAAAACAGACTCCCCCAAATGCTACATTTTTGGCTGTTTCTCCTGTCTTGGCTTCTGAAGTTGGGCTCCTATCTGGCCTACCCCCACTTGAATCACCTTGGCTATCACAGGGCTGCTTTGAAGTGTTCTCTTTTCTTTACAATAAACAACAGAAACTTAATCTTCAGTGACAATGTTTATTTACCTAGATTTCTTGATTGTAGTATAGAAAGATTAACATTAAAGTGGCATAAGAGAATCCATAACACACACACATTAGTAAAAGATGCAACATACAGTAATGTTTATACAGTCTTAGTTATTTACTATATCTGAATTGCAAAGTTAGCCCTAAGTTGTTAAGCCATCAATTAGAAAAGGGAACGTGGTTCTATTGCTCATGTCCATAAAGCAAAAAACAAGTCAATTACCAAAATGAAGCATTATTTCTCCTAGTGAGTTGCCTGCAAAGTTTCTCTGGAGAAACTTCATGGAGAGATCAGTACATGGTATGATAGTTGGTGTTTTAGCAGCAGCTTCACAGGAGATGCCATGATGACTTTCAGAGGGATGCTGCTTGTTGGGTTACCCCAAATAAGCAGATGGCATCACATCAACTTGGAAATCAGGAAAAGCAATTATTTAGTGATTGATGGGAAGTGGGCGAGGCTCAATAAGATACAGTCCAGATAGTCAGTTCTCTCTTCAACTAGGCAAAAATTAACCATACATTTTAGAATGCAGGAGGCTCAATATGATACAGTCCAGATAATCACTTTTCTCTTCTGCTAGGAAAAAAGTAGCTATACATTTTAGAAAACATCTGGAGTACAATCCAGCAGCCAGAACTGGTTGAAATCACAACACCTCTAAGACTGCATAAAATTGTTATGAATTATTACAGTTTACATAAACAATTTTATTACATAAAAGTGTTATGAATTATTACAGTTTTCTGGGGGGCAGACAAAACACAGGTTCACTTCATTAGTGTATGGATGACTCAGAAAAGAATGCTTTACTTAACACTGCTAGAAACCGCCAGACAACAAATCCTTCATGCTATTCTCAAGAACACCCCCGACATAGCTGCTGTTTTTGTCTGCACAAAGAAACCTTTTTACTTCCATATGGCATGTGGCTTTAGCAGGTGATGCTATGCTAGGCTGGGCAAGAAGCTAGTATCAGAAAAACCCACACAACTCTGCAAGGCCATGGGCCATGGACTCCTGGGAGTGCCTCATCACCATTGAATGTGAACCTTTTGAGGAGATACTCACAGGCTGTCCTTCTCACGGGCCTGCAGGCCAAGGCTAGTCAGGGAGTTGCTAATCTTCTTAATGAGCTTCCTCTCCTCTAAGAATTGGTTCTCCAAGAAGTGACAGAACTGGAAGTCTGCTTTGGCTGTACCCAGGGCATGCAGATCCAGAAGGACTTGGTTCAGGTTCTTCTCCAAGGCCAAGGGCGTTTCTATGGTAACCAGGCTTCCACTGCACTGGTATGAAGGCAGCATCTGCCGTTCAGAGACGAGGTCACTGCCGTTGTGCCGATTTTGCATCAGGAGAATATAGGCAACCTGACGCTTCTCTTCAGACAGATCTCAGAAGACGTGAACCAGGCCTGCCTGAAGATGCAAGCTGACCAGGCGGTCTACCTCCGTGGTGTAATTTCGAGGGCTCTTGGCACTCATGGTTGGTGAGCAAGATGAAGTTTACAAAGAAGCCTGCTTCCAGAAACAGAGTATAGCAGATTGTCCCGGAAGTGGTGTGTAGAGGCAGATAGTAAGGAGTCTAGGGGATAGGGCTGGGAGTTTCTAGTAGGGCAATAAGTGTACAGTCTCACAATCTTTTCAGTTAGGATTAACTTTCTTCTATCTTGTAGCTATTGGAATAGAGTATTCATTTGTTCTGTGTGCTGTTTTTTAAAACCATAATTCTAAGATGAGGTAAGAACATCTAAAGTTTTCATAATGAAATCTCTTTAATCATTTGCGACTTCAAACTTCCTTGCTTATTAATTTAGAGCTGGATACAGACCTTTTACTCTGCATATACTCCCTCATTTTCTCAGTGAGTAGCCTTAATCCCCCTTTCTCAGAACAGTCTGACTGTTCTGATATAAAGTTAATAACATCCCTATCCCCCTACCAAGGACCTTATATGGAATATGTATTATATAATCACCTTATTCTTTATAGATAAATGTGAAAATTGTATCACACAAAATGTTGAGGGTTAGTATAATTTGCTTCTTTCTATTTGTTTTGCGAGAGCCTCTCATGAAATTGAAGCTGGCCTCTGGCTCACGGATGACCCAGAACTTTCCAAATGGTGGGATTACAGGCATATGTCACCACATTTACCTTGTTTCACATTGCCACTTCACTAATCATGCCAGTAAGAACTTCTGTTTTAACTTTTCTATGCAGTATGTATTATTCACTTCTTGCATTCATTGTACCTAGAAAATCTTATGGAATGTCATAAAGGTCAGCTGTCTAATAGGTATTAACTGAAACATAATGCTAATGAGAATAAGAATTAAATAGTATATATTTATAAATCTTATGGAAATTAAGCACATACAGACAATTATAAGTTAGCAGGTCTCCATAGAAAGGTAGAGAAAGACCTTAATGTCCTCTTTCAGATCTATAATTCCATGCTGAACTTTTATTTGTTAAATGCCATTTGCCTTGAGCTGTTTCCCAATTAGAACTTTTTCATGTGATTTTGGTCAAATAGGCATATCCTACTCATAGTAAAACTCCGAACCCCAGGGAAGAAAAGAAACAAAACCTCTGCTCTAAACTTGAAAACTTACAGTAAATGAAAGGAAAACAATTATTTTGCAGCTCCTTTCTAATTTAACTTCCCAGTTGCTGCTGAAAACATACATGTTAAAATGTAAAAGGAAGCATGCAGTCTTCCTTCATGGTTGTGGTTAAAATATGAACACACCCCCTATATCTAAATATGTGGTACTAGCATCTGCTGCCTGAACCCTGAGACACCGTAAGTACTATAACTTCTGCCTTTGTCAACTTGCTCTCTCAGGTACTTTGGTCTCAGTGCTAGGGAAGCAAACTGTCATAATCTATATAAACATTTCCAGATGAGTTAGTAATGTGCCACCTATGGATGCTGAAAAGTCCCTCCGTTATCACTTTGGAGAGAATAGAACCCAAGTCAGAAGGACACAATTTTGAGTGATTAAAAACTTTCTTGTCAGAATCATGTCAGTACTATACCCTCTTTTAGACTCAGCTTTCTTGCCTTTCAAAGAGAGATATTAGTCTCTCACAGACGTGCTACCAAGCTAAATTATGTAATGAATGAGAAAACGCTGTGAACTAGTAGAACTCAAAACATGGGGCATATCATCATCCCATTTGGAGATCTTTTCACTAAAGAGCTATTCTTCTGAAATGAGATTCCCTGTGGCTTTCAAACTTGAAACCACGCAGGCATAGTTTTGAGTGTCTAGATTCAAGTCATTTAAAACCTTAGCCAAGTTAGCTTGTCTGTCATCACTTGTCTAAACAGGCTTCTATTATACTTCTTGGGGTCCTTTGTGGTCATGCTGACTATAGACACAGTATCTAAATGGCAGAGTTAGTTGCGTTATTCTCTCAATTCACTAGCTCAAGACCATGATCCAAGAGACATGTAATGCTCTATCATGCTGGTGATGGCAAGTTCCTGAAACATTCCATATGAGTGATACAATTCACAGAATTTACCTCCCCTTCAACCCAAATGAACCTAGAATGCTTCTGAGTTTGACAGACTCTCCAGAAACAAACACCAGCATGAGGGTCCCTATGCAAGTGACTTATTGGAAAACTACTGTCAGGGAAGACAAAACGGACATGAGGAAACAGGCAGAAAAAGAAAAGAAGCCAAAAATATAAAGCTGCAATCTCAGAAAGTCTCTGTTCTGTCCCAATCCCATATTCGAGCTCCAGAATACAAACTACCCTCAGAGATTATTTCAACATGAGGCATGGAGACCAGACTTTCCTAGTTCTGACCACAAGTTGTGGGCCTCCCCAAGGTAATATAAAGTTCAGGGCCTTACCTTCCAGGGAAGCAAATCCATTAGCCCAAGAACCAGTCAATAACAGAGGTAATAGGTGCTAATCATCAGGAGAGGTACACACTGGCAATGAGTGTTGAGCATACAAAACTGGCAGAAGTGATATGAGGGGAGTTAGGCAGGAAATGTATCGCTTGCAACACTAGCCTTCTATGCCCCTTGACTGTGAGAGGTATTTCCTACTAGGACCTCCTTTCGTATTTATCCCTCTTATGTGTGAATGGAATTCCAATTAAGGGGCAATACCAGATATCTATATCTCCATTATCATCCCCTAAAATCTGTCATACTCTTCAGGGGTCTCATTTGTCCACGTACCAGCCAAATCTGGTCCAGAGATGATTTCAGCTAAGAAGTCATTTGCATCTTTTGTCTAACCTTCTCCTTTGATTGATGCCATTCTCCATACTAGAATAACATACTGATTGTTTTTTAAGACATGGTTTCTCTGTGTAGCCTTGACTGTCCTAGAACTCACTCTGTAGACCAGGCTGACCTCAAACTGACAGAGATCTGCCTGCCTCTGCCTCCCAAGTACTGGGATTAAAAGAGTGAGCCACCACTGCCTGTCACGATTTTTAATAGCTCCAAACAAGTAAGTAAAAGTCAAAATATCCCTAGAGGGTCCGAACATGAAAAACTGTGAAGTGGCTGCTTAAGGGTTTTTCATCCAACCTGAATTCCCCTGAAAATTGATGCTGCACAAACAGCAAAAAGGTTTCTGTTTACTTGTCATTTTCTAAAAGGAACTATAAGGGGTTCAGAGTTTAGCTCTAATCGGTCCATCTGTTTTGTTCAAGAGACTGCCTGACACCAGTGTTATGAAATAAGACTGAATCATCATTTTCTCCTCCAAAAAACACACACACATACACACACCTACTGCTTCTCCCCAACTGTCCCCTCCGCTAAACTCTGTAGTTCACTGAGAATCTCACCCATGGCCCACCCAAAAATTGCTGCCTCACCACATCCTACATCCCCCACACACACACATTTACTATGGGTACCACAAGCAAATAGGAATATTCTAAACCGGGGCTCATTTTGTGTTCCAAGGTATATCTGGCAATATTTGAATACATTTTAAGTCACTGGCTTAGAGCTGCCTCGGGGGATATTCATTTTTTAACACTTTCAGTTTTCCCTGTAAAAAGAACCAAATGACATTCCTCAGGTAGAGAACTGTGGATGCTTATGGTAGGATCCCACAGTATGAATTAAGATGGTGAATATTGAGGGAATATGGGCAGGCTTCCAACAACAAAACCTGAATTTGATCCTCTAACCTCCATGGGACTGTACTTTCAGTTTCATTTTTTGATAATGGTGCCTTAACCACGAACTCATTCTAATTGTGAACACAATAGACATTCTGGATGACAGAGTTATGGATTTGAGTTAGGAAACTTATTTCAAGATGTAGTTGAAAGCGTTATCAGAAACTATGTATGCCAGCTCTGTGTCAGTGCAAATCCCCTTAAGTCATCCCCAACAAGTAAGTATCTAGCCTTTGCTCTAATTCATCCCGGTATCAAGGAACATGTTAGCTCATAAAGACTACTCATTCCATTTCCAGACAATGTGATCTGGAAGAAACAGGCTACTGGGAGCTAAGCAGATCTGAGGTTCTATCTGCTTGTCCTACCAAGACATGTGTAACTTTTGTCAAGTTATTTAACTTTTCCAACTCTTACTCATTTTAGCTACAAAAAAATCTTTAGTCATCTTTTAAGATTACTGTGAAGAGATGAAGTAATATAAGGAATGTAGCACAACTTACAACACAAAATAGATAACTCAATAAAGATTAGCTGCCTTGGGAGCTCAAGAGATGGCTCAGAAACTAGGAGCACTAGCTGCTCTTGCAGAGGACCCAGGTTTAATTTCCAGCTCTTACAACCATCTGTAGCACCAGTTCAAGGTGATCTGGCTCCCTCTCCTGGTCTCCAAGAGCACTAAGCACACAGGCAGAGCCCATGCACGCATATGCACAAACAAAAAGACTGATACATGTCAAATAAAAATAATAAATCTCTTTGTAAAGTTTAGCTGCTATTACTCTTTTTCCTTCCCTACATACTCTAACTGCAGTTGTTGTCCCTGTGACTCATTCTACATTTGATACTCTCTAGTTTTAACTTCACAAAAGTAGAGATTCAGTCCAGCCCATCTTCCCACTGATCTGAGACATCCCTTCTTCACCAAAACATGCTGGGTGCCTTCCACTGTTCCTTATCTAGCCTGCCTCTGTGGACTTTCACCATCCGGTGAATCTAGAACTTGGGGCTGGATTTCCCTCCAAATGGATAGCTGAAATTCTGCACTTACCAAAGGCTAAATACATGTGTGGGTTGTGTCTTTTTAATATGTCTGTGCATGGATCCATATGGGTTCTGTATGAAGGAATCTTTCTTGGCCCCGAAAACATGAGACAAGATGCTCCTGAAAGCAAGAATCATAGGACAAAATGACTTTGTGTTTTCTGGGGTTGCTGTGGTTTCTCTTTTGCACATTTGTTCATGTTGCACTTGCCCCTTGCCCTCCACGATGAAAAGTGCTTTCTACTCCTTTTTCTAAGGAGACATTTGATGTCT